TTTATTATTTTCTACTCTTCTTTAGTTTCTAAGTCTTATTTCTATTTTTTTATGTTATTGTTTTTTATTTGCTGTTTCTAGTGCTCTACTTGTGTGTGTCATTGTCTAAGTTATCTTTCTTTGTTGTCGCTGATGCTACATATTAGTCTTCCCGCCAGTAAAAGTGAAGATTCATTTCGCATTTAAGCTCCCATTTGAAATTCTAATCAAGGTAAAATAAATACGTTTACACAGGCATCGATAAAAACGTTCAACGCTCTCAATACAGAGTATAGTATTTCTTAATATTCTTTTTGATTCAATTGGTTTAAAAACATTAAATGATTTAAATTTTTAATTTTGTTTTCATTGAATTATTGCGTTCTTTAACCCTCGTATCTCCAACAAAATTCAGGGTTCAGTAATTTCATAGCATTGCAACAACACGTGTTGAACTCTTTCCATGGCCAGTGAGAAGTGCTTGAGTTTCAAGTAGAGCTAAAAAATAAACGCAGAATGACAGACGGATTTATTATGCACGTGTAAAATAAGAGCGTTGTGAAAAGTAATGTTAACAGTAATGTACATTTGGGAGTTCATAGCAACGGAAATCCATAGAGCTTTTGTTTGTTTATTTCAAGTTAAGCACAAAGCTACACAATGCACTATCTGTGCTCTGCCCACCACGGGTATCTAAACCCGGTTTCGAGCGTTGTAAGTCCGTAGACATACCGCTGTGCCACTGGGGAGGGCTCCACAGGGCTAGATTTTAGTATAATCAACTAAGTCCCTTTCGGCGAAACCAGGTTTCTAGCGTTGTAAGTACGTAGATATACCGCTGTGCCAATGGGAAGTGTAGGGGGGGGGAGCTCCACAAAGCTAGATTTTAGTATAATCAACAAGTCCCTTTCGGCTACCACTGTAATTAAAATCAGTAAGATTGAGAGACATTTCACGAATCCTGTAGGGGTAATCGGATTTTCATGTAGCTGATTTTCTCACTGACTGATGTACGGATTTGAGAGTGCATAATTGTAGCTATAAGTTTAATCAATAACTAAGCGCTATAGGGATAAGTGATTAATTTCCACGATGAATTGTAGGGATCGTAATCTTACTTACAACGCAGGTTCATTTTTAGTTGTTTTCTGAAAATGATTTTTATAAACGTGCTTATAATGCAGATCATACAAGTTATTAACTATACTCTTTTACTCGTATTCATAAATTTTCCCCTGAAACATGTAGACTGATTTTACGACGCAGAAGGCGTTCTGTATCCAACGAAATGCGTGTGTTCGTCATTTCCAAAGACATGAGACTTAGATTAGTAAGTCTTGTAAATTTGTTTTCCTCCTCAGATTTCGCAAATGAAAATAAATTTTCCCCTGCAACATGTAGACTGATTTTACGACGCAGAAGGCGTTCTGTATCCAACGAAATCCGTGTGTTCGTCATTTTCAAAGACATGAGACTTAGATTAGTAAGTCTTGTAAATTCATTTGCGAAATCTGAGGAGGAAAACAAATTTACAAGCCACAGGTTTTTGTTCATTATGCGTGTGTTTTCTCCGTTTACAAACAGCACACAGAGAAATTCCACAGTAGAAATTATGCATACCAGCTATGATTTATGACCTGAGGTACTCCGGTTGCCTGAAAATTTACGGTAGTACAGACAGAAGTTTAAATAAAGCATTTTGTTCTTACAGACGTGGCGAAGTAAAATAAATATATCTAAGTAATAGAGTTTGTTTGTAATTAAGCACAAAGCTACACAATGGGCTATCTGTGCTCTGCCCACCACGGGTATCGAAACCCGGATTCTAGCGTTGTAAGTCCGCAGACATACCGCTGTGCTACTGGGGAGCAAGTAATAGAGAGAGAAACGCTGACAGGATGACGAGTGTAACTCCCGCAAAAGTAACAGGCTTGATAATTGGTCGATAATTTTCCTCATCACTTTTACTGTTGAATACTGGAATCAGTTGTTGTGTGTATATATACCAATGGATTTGGGAATATAATTCGCTTGTTCATTGTATAAAAAAGTTAAAATCTTTTCTGTGCCTTAGGCAAGACACATAGGATTGGTGCTTTCAAGCACCGGTGACACTGGTGACTCATCCCTCCTTGAGGGATGTCAGTCCATCGTAGTTAACCCCAACTATTCAGTTACGATTTGGTACATGTGTTACTTTTACAATTCTTTCGTTAACGTTTCGTTTACCTGATGTAAACCCACATTTAATGGATGAAAACAACGTTCAGAAGCTTCTAAAGTAAAACCAGAGGGAATCCTCAATAGCCACAGAACTTGAAATTATTTTAGGCAGGGTTAGAGTAAATTGACGTATGAGACTTTTTTTTCCCTTTTTATTAGCTATATTTCTGTGCGCGTATACTCGATTCGATTTTGTTAATCATCAGCCTACCCTCAAATTGAAATTCTTTTAGGTAGGATTAGGGTAAATTGACGTATGAGACTTTTTTTCCTTTTTATTAGCTATATTTCTGTGCGCGTATACTCGATTCGATTTTGTTAATCATCAGCCTACCCTCAAATTGAAATTCTTTTAGGCAGGGTTAGAGTAAATTAATTTATGAGATCTTCGGAGTGGTCAAATAATCAATCGAAAGGGTTTGACCTCCCAAGTCCAAAACTGTAATTAGATCTCATATCGGTCAAGAGATGTCGGAGCTTTGAGCTAAAAGTTTGTACTTGAAAAACTAAGAGCCATTCTATGAGCCGTTGTGCCGCGGCTAAATATTTTTTGCATTTATCCCTATATGTCTATAAAACACAGTAAAAACGAAATCTACTTCGTCTCCGTAAACAGTTGTATGTACTATCCTTTAAGAAGCCGCAACGGCGAAATGTCGGTTAAAATAAAAGTTCTTTTGTAAGTATCTGGAGTGTAAACGTAGTTTTTCTAACATTATTTTCCAAACGCGTCTCCTTACGTGTGTATATATATGCATGCGTGTGTGTGTATTTGAATATATTTAATTACATTTGCGAGTACATACGAAATTGTACTTTTCCTTGAAAACTGCTTACTCGTTTTTCTTTTTTTGTTGTTGTTTTTGTCAACTTTAAATGTTGATTACACAATGCCTGTTTAAAGTAAAACGTCGCATTCGAGCGTTTGATTTTCAGTATATTTGATTCGGTATTTTTCGCTTATTTTTGGCATTCTAAAGACGCTTGCAGTGAAGTAAATAAGTATTTCTGTGTGTAAAGAAATTTTGCACGGTTTTACTGAAAGTATTAAAACTAAAATCAAACTGCTAATAAAACTAAGCTACCGAAGTCTAAATCAAACAAAGGTGAACGAAGATAAAGGTGGACAAACGTAATAAAAGAGTTTCAGTTTAACATGAAATTATTGGAATCCAGGTAGTGCATTACGAATGACCACTAACTGCAAGTTACATTGCTTATCCTGTGTGTTAAAACGTTTCGCTAGTTTGTGTTTAATGATATGATAAACTATATGACAGATGGAATCCACATAGTGCATTAAGAATGACCACTGACTGCAAGTTACTCATAGGTGTAGTTTAACGAGTGATATAATACGAACTGCATACGGAATGAGGCAACTCTAAGTACACTACTTAAACAAACAAAACATTTGCAGTAATCACTGTTTCAAAACTCACATGTTAAAAGGATTGAAGTTGCACCATTATAATTACCATTTTTAAACGGGAAGAATCTATTCCGAATTAATTGTTTTGTCCTCACAGAAGCTCCACGTGTATAATATTTCAAGTTGTTTCTTTTTTATTATTTTAACCAGTCCAGTGTATGTTTTAAACCATTAAATATTTTACCTATTCACAACACAAGCAGCTTAAAAGATAAATATCTCGTTTCCAATAATTAACTCATTAGAAAATCTTAATGTAAATCCTTTCCAAGCGTGTATCGTGAGATAATGAAAGTGATGATAACAGATTTGAGTAATTGTCAGAGATGGAGCATTTTTCTTTATACTGTATTTTGCTTTCCTCGATATTACTCTCGACCAAAGAGAGGCTAAAGGATTCGTTTGTCTAAAGTCCTATTACTTGACTTTTTTTGTTTACAAACCTAAAAGTTTACGTGTAATGAAACAAGCAGCAAAAGCTGTCATTTACTTATTACACCAGAAAGTAAAACATTAAGTAAAGAACGAAGAACTCGTTCGTATAGAACATTTAACAGATTAAACTATTAATCAGTCTAACTTTACCCGAAAGATTCCGTTTTGTTTCTTACCTTCTCATATTCTGAGAAACGGAGTAGTTTAGACCATTTCAAACAAATCTGTAAAACCAGAAGTAAGACTAGCCAAGCAAGGATCCACCGAACATGCGAGTCAGCCAGAAAACTAGGAAAGCGTTAGATGATGCTACTAGCAGTCGTTACACGGAGTAAGGAGAGAAATGGGAGTGAAATGCGCGAACTCCGAAAAATGAAAGATCGCGCACTAAAGCTGTAAGCGTCACTGTAGTACAAATAACATAAAATAATGTAATTTAAGCTTTTTTCGCTTTCTTGTTGGGAGCCAGGTTTTATGTCGGTATAGACGATTTACGTTTTTGTTAAAGTGAAGGACCTAAAAAAAAAAGAAAAGGTTTTGTGGATAGGAAAATGTGGTTTTATTTGTTTTTATCAAAGCAATGACTCAAGAATAATAAATACGCACGGTCAACAAAGATGGCTTAGGAACGCTTTATGAAATATTATATAAATACGATATAAAAGTATAACCAGAACAATTCATATTTACTAGATTAATTTATTAATCTATGGACGATATATATACAAGGAATATAAGTACAAGTAGTACATTGTTACTGCATGCTGTTATACACTATAACAAAATGGCCAGGTGGTTAGGGCGCTCGACTCGCAATCTGAGGGTCGCGGGTTCGAATCCTCGTCCCACCAAACATGCTCGCCCTTTCAGCCGTGGGCGTTATAATGTGACGGTCAATCCCACTATTCGTTGGTAAAATAGTAGCCCAAGAGTTGGCGGTGGGTGGTGATGACTAGCTGCCTTCCCTCTAGTCTTACACTGCTAAATT